TTAGCTTGTCCTGCAGACCTCACTGGGATGTGTTGCTATTGCAAGTGCTGCCAGCTCCACATCTCTATTACCAGTTTTATAGTTCCCTAAAGTCTTCCCATCACCCAGCTGCTCCTGCAGCACAAACTTCGCTGTTTCTTGGTGCCTCAGGACCCTGGCATCAGGTCCTCCAGGCTGGGAATGAACTTCCAGTCTTACAGAATCATTCCCTATTTCTGCTCCCTCCATCTCCCCCAGATGAAGACTGGGAAGGGCAGGCTTCAGGTTCTACTCTACAAACCTGGGCTGTAGGCCCAGAGCTTGAGAAAGTGGCAACAGCAGAAACCCAGTGAGATGCAGCACACAGTTCACCACCACAGATGCAGTGCTGGGGTCCCAGTAGCTCTGTTGTGGTCTGCTACAGCTGAGATATTTTCCACATTAATGTCTTTCCTGCTGGCTGGAGCTTCCCCCTGCCCTGGGAAGGATCTGCCTGACCCCAAGGAGGGGGTCAGACCCCTTGGGGTCCTGCTAGCCCAGCCAACATCCTTGCAGAAGCTCTCCTCGTTTGTACATACACCCATATGAATTAAGAGATGTGTTTGCAGGAAGGGTGTTTTCGGATTTTACCCAAGGAATTTAGGACTGGCTCTACTGGGTCAGGAAGCCTTGGGTCTGACACATCTGCTTTGACAACACATTGCTCCAAAACCCTCTTTTTCCTCTCCTTCTTCCATAGATGTGGGATCATGGGGTGGGTGGAGGATGGGCTGGATGGGGTTTCATGCCCATGCACCTCCCCTCCTTCCCTCCTCCTCCTCCCATCACCCTCCCCAACCCCTTCCACTCTTCTCAGCCATGATAAACTCGCTGATGGAAAAAATGTTGTCACACATATCTCACTTCCAGTGTGTGGGAGTCGCTGATAACGGCACAAAGATCTGGACAATAAAGACTCCTGACAGCTTTCATGTCCATCCTAGGCACGGGGGATAGTCCTGGAAGAATTTGTGGGATTTGGGGAAGGGCCCTGCAAGCTGTGGTCCTGGGAAGGAGGTGGAGAGGAGAAAGGGCTCATCCATCCTCCTCATTTGGGGTGCAAAGCCATTCCCCTGCACATACCCCGAATTCCACCCTGCCCTGGGGCATTTCCAAACTGAGAGCCACAAGGTTTTGGCTTCTCTGTTGTGCTGGGGAGCAGCCCAGCAGCTGCTCACCACGGTGTTTGTTTTGGAGCTTCCCCATCCCTCCGTGGGGAGAGGGGGCTGTGCTGCTCCAGCGCTGCCTCCCTTCCACGTGGAGCTGCTGAAAGAGCCCGGAGCAGCTCGCCAGAGGGGTGAAGTCATTTATTTATGCCTAGGAAAAACGTGGACTTTATTACACAGCCTCTGAGATGCTGGGGCTGAGCCACTGCCAGGCTTTTGTGCTGATGTGGAGAGCAGAGGTCAGCACAGGGCAGTGCCAGTGGCCACGTTTCTTCCTATCCCTTATCAGGATGTACGAACAGGGCACCAGTTTATTCATGGGAAAATAAAAAAAGTGCCAGGGTTTGGCTGGCAGAGGTTCATTTGACACAGAATCACACAATCATTTAGTTGGAAAGGACTTCCAAGACCATTGAGTCCAGCCTGTGACTGATCCCCACCTTGTCACCAGCCCAGAGCACTGAGTGCCACATCCAGTCATTCCTTGGACACCTCCAGGGATGGGCACTCCAAACCTCCCTGGGCAGCCCCTTCCCATGCCTGACCACCCTTTCCATGGAGAAATTCCTCCTGGTGTCCAACCTGAACCTTCCCTGCACAGCCTGAGGCCATTCCCTCTGATTTTATAGCACTTCTAGTTTTTCAGTATCTATTTTCTCACTCTAGTTGCAACAACTGAGAATGACTTTTGCAGAAAACCTTATTTACTCCAAGCAAAAGAAAATCAGTTTTATAAATTTTCCAGCTGGACGGAGACCTACCAGTTATTTAGATTTCTGTCCTAATCCTCAGGGGCTGCAGATCCTCTCCCCAAATTCTCTCTTTCCCTCCAGAGCACTGGTCTCCAAAGTAAGCATGATGATCCACCAGAATGGGGGAAAAACATTATTTCTAACATTAATAAATAATACAAAATAAAATTTATTTTAAGATTACTGCCACTGCTGTAGGGAACTGTCTCTCTCCTTGGACTCCCATGTCCCACAAGGGGAAGGGAAAGGAAAGGAAAGGAAAGGAAAGGAAAGGAAAGGAAAGGAAAGGAAAGGAAAGGAAAGGAAAG